AACATTTTTCCCATTAGGTCTACAGAGGTATCTTATGTGCTATTTCATTTGCTCAAAGTTTGCCAGTGAAAATCTGATTTACCAACAAAAAATTACCAAAAACCAATGAATCAATATTCATAGTAGAATTCCTAGCTTTAGAAAAGGACTCTAATCCAAACCATATTGTTCAATTTTAAACAGTTTCAAACTAACAGAAAATGCTTTAGAATGTGATTTTAGTATATGATCTTAAAAATGGAGCATAAAAATCAATTTCAGTATGTATAAGGCCATTAAAAAATACTTTATGCAGCTCAGCTCTTAGTTGTTTCAATCGGCTCTTAAAAACCCCACACATGAAAGAAAGAAGGAAGACGGAGAGAGAAGGAGAAGGAGGAGAAGGAGAAGAAGAAGAGAAGAAAGGAGGGAGGGAAGGAAGGAAAGAAGGAGGGGAGGGAGGGAGGGAGGGGAGGAAGGATGAAGGAACGATGTTGGGTCCCCCTCCACATTCTCACCATACCCTAGAAGCTCTGCATCAACTGTATCTCCATTATAGCTAACTTTTGGCGCGAAAATGGCAGGAAGAGAGTCAGATTTCCTTCAGCAGTGAGCTGATTGCTGAAGAAAAATGAATCATTGCACACTTGGATGAGAAAATATGAAGAAGGCACTTTCCCACTAATTAGGCCCCATTTTCAGCCATTCGTTAAGCCATGGCCTCGCGCCATGAGCTATCAGGAGGTGGAGCGTGGGACAACCCGAAAGCAGAGAGTGCAAATGAAGCATAATGATGCTCTCCATCACCCTGAGACAGTCGGCCAGGAGGGGTGTGGGGCAGGTGCTGGGGCGCAGGCCGCCCTGCTGCCAAGACACCATGCCACCGGGAAGAGAGGGCACACTGGCTATTCCCATCTACGCAAGCACAGCAAAGAAACCGTGTGGCACTCACCAGTGAGCCTGTGCCTCCCAGAGACCAAAGGGGTGCTGCCTTTCCCACACAAATCCTGCCTTTGAGGATTGGGGTCTTCGGACCCTGGGCCGCCCGCCCAGAGTCCTCTCGACTCAGCCACCTGGGAGGGACCCTGCTGCCCGGGTGGCGGGTCTGTCTCCTCCGCCACCGCCTTCACACTCCACTGGGGCGGAGAGAAAGGTGGAACCATTTGCCAAATATGCAAAAAAGGAGGGAAGATAGTTTTCTCTCAGGAAAACACAGGCAGGAAGGGAGCCCGTGCTTCCTGTCCTGACCAAAGTGGGTTCAGAGATTATTAGGACGTCTGATTTGACAGGCTTGTGGTGGAAGAGGGAGCTCTTTTAGTCAACAGGAATTGTGAGTTCCCCAAAGGCAGAAAGGGCCATGGGAGAAGGGAAATAGGGCCAGGCCTGTGACGGGGAAGACAGTGGCCCCCACGCTGGGGACTCTGGGTGTTCACCATTTTTAACAGTTAATCACCAGGCAGGTCACTGAAGGCACCCATGGCATCCACCTACTTATCAGAGTAAAATAGAAGAAGGAAAAAGTCAACTGAACTGAGCAGGGCCCTGCTTGCAGTGTAGACTTCAGCTGCTTTCCCTTCAGACCCTTCTCAGGAGTGACCCCCAGCGACACACGGTGCAGCAGAGCAGGCCCTGCCCACTCCTCCACTTAGAAACTTCCTTCAAAGCTTCTCTTGTTTGCTGTGTTTCACGGGTAATAACACAGCACTTCACTCTTAATGTTTCATAACATTTGTTAGAATATCATCAAGCACTTAAAAACTACGCCACACACAACCCATTGAAGCAAGGACGCTGAAAATGGAAAGACGTGAACATATATTACAGGAGATGCAGAAAGATAACGTGAGGTGTGAAGTCATAGATTAAACTTCAAAGCACAACAGGAACGCCACAGGTCTACGTGGAGAAACCAGTGCGAGCTTTTAGTCGACACCATGATAAAAACAGTTTTGTTGCTATTGCTATAGTCTGGTTTGGGTGCTGAAGTCCCTGACGAACCCCTTTCCCAACTCCCTCCTCGTCTGAACCTTCAAGGCATGTGTGTATAATGCCAACGCTCCGAAACTCAATCTTCCTAAGATCTAGATGGCACATGTACATGTACTTGCTTTAAACAAAACAGAATGATCTGTCTCAAGGCGTAAACTGGATCAATGGTTCTCCTCTTGTCAGCCTCAAAGGATGGGCTTCTTGTGGCTTTTACGTGTTCTATTTGCTCCTATGCAATGGAATCATTACACACACATGTCTGAGGGCTCTGCAAATATGAACGTACCAGCACCGGACAGGGAGTAACGTTAATGGGCAGGGCAGCAGGTGCAGCAGCTCGCGGCTAGAAGGAGTCACGGTGCCCGAAAATGCTTATCATCTTAGAAACAGCAAGGGTTGCCAGAGAACCCAAGAGGGTCTTGGTTTGCTCTCTGTGAGCTGGACCCACTGACATGAATCTCTGTTAGAATAAGCCAACAAAAACAAATACTTATGTCACAGTGAAATTATTTCATAATTACACAGATTTGAGGAGGGGAAAAATGCCACTAAATGTTGTTATCCTTGACAAATTCTGGGTTAACTGCAGTACACTGCACGCACATACAGTATTAGGCAGACACCCAAAGTACTAACATCACTTATGCCTAAACTCATCATTATAAATAGGAAAGTACATCTTGTTTTAGTAAAAGGTAAAAAATAAACAAAACCAGAAAGGAAGGGCTTTATTACCCAGGTTGGGTCTGCCTAATGTTAAAACTCTTTCCCACCTTGTCCCCATGCATCTCTCTCTACACGGTGTACACGCTCTGTGTGTGTGAGCACACACATAGAATTCTTTATTTCCTCTATCTATTAATACACGCAAGCTTGAAGTATATATATAATGCGTGCGTGTGTGGGGTGGGGGCGTTTCATAGCAGGACACATAGTAGACAGCACATATACACATAGTGTTCTCTCAAATTTCAAAAGTTTGACATCTATATTGACAATATGCTATTACATTAACCAAACATGAAACACACAAATCCAAATCAAGGAGAAAAAATCCCCAAAGCAAAGAACCACCATCCTCAAACCCTACGTCTCTAGTCAAGTGAGGAAGACGCAGTGGCCAGCAGCACTGCTGGGCTTCAGACCTCCCAGCCAGGAAATTCGCTACAATCTTAAATTTTCAACAGAGGAAATAAATGGCTTCAAGGACAGCCACACTTTACATTCTCTCAGGAGACTGGGAACCAACTTCTCAAAAGGGTCAAACATGACACAGGCACTTTTACTGACAGACCCGTGGGCTCCTCCTACGAGACCAGGGGGATGGGCTGATGCTCCTGAATTGTGCAGGACAGGTGGTTTTCCAAGATGTGGCACTTTAATTAAAATACTGATGAATTAAACAAACAAGCATGAGGGAGCTTCTAAAACTCCTGCCTTCAACTATCCCCATGAAACAAAAGGGGAGGGAAACATGACCATTTAACTTAATAAAATGTTTTGGTCATCAGCTCTGGTGGACTTCAAGACCGGGAAGGACATTTTTTTCCACATAAAAAAGATATAAACATGTATGTTCATGGGAAGTTTTGAAATCAGATACATTATATCAAACCAGAATCATATAGGATTTTAAAATGTGACATCATTATTTACATCTGTGTGTACTTGTTATTTTTTCACACGTCCTGCATATTCTATGGACTAAGCATAGAATATGCAGTATGCTTACGGAGTATGCTTACTCCATAAGCATTCTATGGAGTAAGCAGGTAATATTCTTGTCACAGATATTTGTCACTGTTTAAATTTTAAGCCATGTACCACACAATCTGATTTGTCACTGAAACAATTCTGATATATTTAATATAAATAATACTTAAATTCTTACTTTTAAAATCCCATATAAAAGATGAGTCCAACTAACTTCATCAAACATCTTCAAACAAAGAAATAAATTCAAGGGGCTCAGACCATTTCCTGTAGGTTTCTCTCTCCTCTCAACTCATAACCAAAGTGAACCAATCCTTAAATCATTTAAATTTCCATGAAAGTTTAAATATTATGCATATTAAATATTTTCAACTTCCATAAATTTTTCTCTTCTAACAGAAGTTGATTTGACTAGTAAGGAGACATTTCTTCAACACCAGTTTGTCTCTCCAAGTTTAAAACTAGTTACCTCAAAGGTGAAATACACTGTCGGGAGCAGGGTGGGAAATTATGAGTGTGCAACCTGAGCGAAGCACACTGCCTTGAGACTCACTCTGGGCGGGCTCTAGCCAGAGAGAGAGAAGGGAAACTGCTGTTGAAGGCTGTGCCTGATCAGACCCTATTGAATCATCACACTTTTCACTCTCTAGATGCCATACTCCGTGCCTCCAACTTAGAAGAAAAATAATCACACCCTCACAAGATTCCTGAGGAATCACCAAGGATCCCTGATAAATCACCAAGGATCCCTGACAAATTTTTAAAACACATTTCAAAAACAGTCGCAAGTAACCTGATGCCTTATTACCGAGGGGATTCGTAACCTGACAGCCAAAATTGCAGTCAGCAAAAGTACTACTAACTTTTCAAACCGGCATAATTCCTATTTTGCAGAAAGCAAGTTCAGACACGATCTAATTGTTCTACAGGATAAGCAAAAAGCTCTCATCTCAAAAATAAGAAAACAAAGCTCTTTATGAATGACTATAAAAGCTGACTTCCGTGATCTCACTATACAAGTATATATCAATTTAAATAGAACGGAGCTAGACCGTCCTCCTCACGGTGACAGCGGGGCGCCTCAGAAGTGCCCCACCGCCAGCCTGGTCCTGCACCTGCGGTCACAGCATACAGTGGCGAAAGCTTTGACAAAAGTCAACGCTCACGCTGTTCCCAGAGAGACAGACGAATCTGAGCGAAACCAGGGATTACAAATCTTACTGCTTTGTCTTTTCTTTCTTTCCTTCTCTTTCTCACTCTTTTTAAATCCACCAGCTTCTCCAAGTTTTCCTACTGAAATTCAATTTGAAAACACTCACGTGGATTTGTGCGTCGCACTTTGGGGGCCAAGATTGATCCTCGGGTGCGAAGAGCAACCTCGAAGCCGGGTTTCCCACTGCCCTGCCGGGCTCGCCCGGGTCGGCCGCCTCGCCGAGGCCAAGCGTCCCGCCCGGCTCGGCTGCGCTCCGCGGGGACCCAGGCACTGTCGCCACAGTCGCCGCCCCGGGCGCGGGCCGCGCAGGCACTTGTTAGAGTGCCCTGCTAACTTGGCCGCCGAGCTCTTCCCAGCTTTCTTTCACAATGACTTCCTGAAGTTGCTCACTCGCATTGTTCCCCATTTCTCTGCCACACTCCCCACCCCCCGCCGGCTCCGACCCGGCTTTCGCGCTCCCGGCCGGCAGCTGCCCCGCGCGCACAGCGCCGC